TGTGTGGTTCAGAATCAAACTGCCAAGTCATGTGATTTCAGCACGCAAGGCTTTGCTTCGAACCTTGGTTTCAAAATATTTCAAAATTATGATTGTTTGCCGCTACACTGAAAATAAATTGGTGTGTAAACAGTTTTCACTTAGAAATTGCAAGTAAATTTTACAAATAATTGCAAAGAAATAGCAAGTAACGCATTGAATTAAACATGAAATTTTGAAGTAGAAAGACTGAAAAAGTATTATTTTTATTTGTTTATTTATGTAAAACATACTCCAATAGTCTTTATCATTTCAAAAAATATTTTTTACAGTGATCTGGTGAATCCAGAAATGAGTGTCTGATGGTTTTTAATTGATCTTGGGTCAATTTTAATAATGTACATTCATTTTTAATAAAGTTAATTAATTTGAATATTTATGCATGTATAATCTAACGTAGTTTAACAAGTACTGTCTAATAACACACAAAACAAAGACTACAAATGAATAAAACACACATTTTACAGAACCTTCATATTTAATGCTTTTTAATTATTTGTAGATTACATTTAATGGATTACATTTTCATAACAACATTTGCAATTGGATTGTTAAAAGTGTGATAATACAAGTTTTTGTTGCATTTACACGATTTTGACCAGTACCTGCCGCCAGCCTGTAGCGTTTCTCGTTATAAAGCATTTGTGATACTCAGGTTTGCTCTTGAAATTCAGTACTGCTGGTATTTTTGGCTTCTGTATAATACATTGTGCTTGAGTTTTTACTATAAAATAAGAATTGTAATGTCCTGTGAGTTGAAATTTCCCTCTTAGCTGTTTTTTTTATTTTGTACATTTTTTTTCATCAGGTTATTGTAGCATCCATCAGTTTCATGGAGGCCATGTTGCTAATGTACCTCAGCTACAAGGTGAGTTTGTGTGCATATGTGCAAAGTGTGAACATGTTTATTGATTTTTCACACGCAGTTTGCTCTGAATCTGAGACCTGAAGTGTCTAGTTACTGCCTTTTGCTTTGGCACAACCACAACTGTTGGTTCCTGATATTCGAAACAGATTGTTTCTGAGTGCATATGTAAATTTTTTTCAGGGTAATTTATGGGAGCAGATATTTCAGGTGTCTTTCCTGTTGGAGATGTTAAATACTGTCCCTTTCATTATAACGGTAAGAAGCATATTCAGAATAATAATATCCCAAACGACATCTGAAAATAAAATCTGACCTCTATGTATCTCTCTCTATGTCAGATCTTCTGGCCTCCCCTCAGAAACCTGTTTATCCCAGTGTTTCTCAACTGCTGGCTGGCCAAGTGTGCTCTGGAGAGCATGATGGTGAGTGATAACCATTCCCAAATAAACCCACACCAGTGTCTATGCAATGCTCTACAGAAACCAGATGACATGTGTGTGTTACAGAATGATCTGCACCGGGCCATCCAGAGAACACACTCGGCCATGTTCAACCAGGTCCTCATTCTTATCTGCACTCTTTTATGTCTCGTATTCACTGGGTAAGAATCATTTTCCTCTGGTTTAGGGCTGGGCGATATATCCCAAAATGTATATCTTGATATTCTTACAATTTTTGTTTAATCAATATGCACATTTTTAAATGTAAAATATGGTAATTAAACATGTTTAAATCTCATTGCCTTCATTTTCAAAATCCAAACAAGAATTAGAGCTTCTTTCGTTTTAGAAAACTGGGATTTGCCAACTTCTCCATTCACCATTTCATGTTATTGGAGGCTTTTTGATCAAGATTTATTTCGTTTTATATTTATTTTTTATTTTGTATATATATATATATATATATATATATATTTTTTTTTTATATTTATTTATTTATTTGTATATACGTTTTCAG